AGGGAAATGGGAGGCTGGGAGGAAGCAGGAATTTTTTTTTTAATTAAAAAAAAAAAAAAAAAAAACCTGCTGTCATGGGCCCAGAGAGCACCTTACCGAACTCCACATCAGAAAGATCTCCGCCATTGGGAAAGTCCCGACAACTGTTCCTAGTGGAACCCTTGCTGATACTTGATTGGGAGTCAGAAGCACAAGCTTTGGCCACTGACTGCACCAGATGTTCATCGTCAGCATTCCGCCAGCCCCACCAGCTAACCTCCGGTTGTCCACAGCGGGCAATGACAGCTCCATTGCTCTGGTGCCTGTGTGGAGGCAAGAGACAATAACTACTATTTCAAGACCCCAACCTGATGCTCTGTACTCACATAAAAAGTATGGTAGGTGATTATAAGTTCTTTAATGAATAGCTTGACACTAGGTAAATACTGAATTGGCTTCAAATCTTTACAATATTAATAGGGGCAGAAATGAATAACAATGTAGCACAAATAATAAAAACCCAGAAACAGATATTGGGATTCAACCTGAAGATCAGGAAAACAAAGCAGACAAGCCACTAGAGAGCTCTTACCTCTATGAAATCTTTACTGAAAGAGAGTGAGTTCCTGTCTCATCCTCCCTTATATTCCACTCTCTGGGATTAAAGGTGTGCACCACCACTGCCTCGTCTGTACAGCTGACTAGTGTGGCTGTTTTGCATTCTGATCTCCAGGCAAGCTTTATTTATTAAAATACAAATGAAATATCACTACATAACAAAACCTACATAACTTTCTCAATTATCATCCCATTATAGTGCTCTCTATAAAGTTACCAACAAATGATAAATGAATATTCTCAGAGAAAATAAACTAACACTCACAATTTAGATATTCAGAATGTTTGTTTGAGAAATAAGCTTTTTTAAAAAATTATGACTACTATAATTCTACTATGTAAAGTACAAATACCTCATTTCTAATACTGAATCCAATGCATTAGATGCTAAAGTATAGAACAAATTCCTTTCCTCACTTCTGAGGGTCCACTATAGTACCCATGCTTATTACTGCTGGCTTGAGGATTCTTTTTAAATATTGCCCATCTCGGCAGCTGTAACATTCACCTGGCCCACAGTGGACTCCTGAAGTTATTTTTCTTAGAGGCACAGCACTCAGTGACCCAGCCAGTCATGCCTCCTTCCTCGGGCTCATAGAAGGAAGAAATCACAATCCCAGTAAACCTTACTTTGACAGATCCTTTTCCAAAGGCAGAACTCATTCTCAGAGTCTACTCTGAGATGCTATTAAAACCTCAGGTGTTTTCCAGTATGTCAATTTAAAAGTTGGGGAAATGTAATAATTAGTAGTAAAACAGGAAAAAGGTTCAGACACACGCTATATCATCAATACTGGAATGTGTCACATAAAGTGAAATAAGCCCATCACTGATGACAGACATTGTAAGATTCTGCTTATATGACACATTCAGAACAGGTGAATCTAGAGGAACAATGTATTACTGGGTATACATTGGGTTAGAGCAGCTGGGGAAGGAGGAACGACTGCTAATGAGTATGAGGTTTCTCAGGGTAGTGAAGATACACTTAAGACAGATTGAGAGATGGGTTATACAACTCTAAATGTAGTACACTAAAAACTGCTAAAGTAATGACATACTTCAAGCTTATTTTTAGTTATAAAACTAATCATCTGGCTATATATAAAGATGGAGGGCTCAGTGGGTGAAGCACATGCCTGGGCAAGCCTGGTACCCTGCACTCTATCCCTGAACCCATGAAAAGGTGGAAGGAGGCAACAGACTCCACAAAGTTGTATCACATGTGCTGTGGTATATGTGCCCAAACACACCACACACATATAATAAATAAATCAATGAATAAATAATATTTATAAATCTTTTTAAAAAGATTTTTGTATATATTTTATATCTGTGTATGTGAATGAGTCTGTGTGTGGAAAGAGAGAGGTCAAACAAGGACAACAGATCTCTAGGAGTGCAATTATAGGCGACTGTGAGGACCCAATATGGGTGCAGGTAACCAAACTCCCATTCATTTGAAAGAGCAGGAAGTGCTCTTTATCACTTAGCCAACTCTTCAGCCCCAATAAATACTTTTAAAAAAAAAAAGTCTCCCAATTCTATACCCTGAAGAAAATGCCCATATTTTTAAGAATGCTCCTGAACACACACACATGTAAATCTCACACAAACAGTACAAATGTGTTTACACAGAACACAGTGCTCCATTCCTGTTTCTTCTTTAGGGAACAACTGGGGAAAGTTTGCTTTTAATTCTCAGATTTACAAGTAATAAATTAATTTGGTAGCAATCAAACCATAATAGAACAGTTTGCTAATAGGTTTTCAATCCTCCTTCACTGTGAGCAGCAGGTAGAAACAGTACACATTATTACCAACACCTCATTGGCTCACACACAAATGAAACAAATGTCAGAAAACCTAATGGATTCTTGCTGTGCCTCCCTAGTAGGCTGGGGAAGTATAGAGCTGAATGACTGCAAAAGGCTTCCCAAAAGAGGGTATTGGGACTTTCTGAGGCTTCCTCTGTCACTGCGAGGCTTTCCAGCACTGAGCCAGGACCAGCAGACTGTACTCTTCATCCTGGGTCTTAGGTTTCTCAGGGTCAACTTGGTCACTACAAGTAGCAGAAGTCTTTTAATCTCCGAAAATGCTTGATATTTCATCAAAGATAGCTCAAGCCAGATAGCTACAATTACTTTAAAAGGAAAAGTATAAAGAAAATAAGGTAAAATAAACATTTAATATCAGGACTCAGGAGACAGAGGCAGATGGATCTCTCTGAGTTCAAGGCTACCCTGGACTATACAAGACAAATCCAGAAATAGATCCAGGTGGTGGTGGTTGGCACCTTTAATCCCAATGTTTGGGAGTCACACACCTTTAATCCCAGCACTAGGGAGGTGGAGACAGGAGCAATATGGCTGGGTGGAGAAAGAAATATACAGGGGAAGAGACAGGAACTCAGTGAAGTGTGGAGTCTGAAGATTCGTGAAGACAGGATCTGAAGATTTGGAAGAGGTAAAAGGTCTCTCTAGTGGTTGACTGCTTTGCTTTTCTGATCTTCAGCTTGAATGCCAAAATCTGTCTCTGGGTTTTTATTATTCGTGCAACAACCTACTAAAAAATAGAATGCTTACATTTTACATGAAAATGCAATGGTTTTAACTGCCTCTAATTCAATGGTCAGACAAGCTCCCCATAGATACAGTGTTTCAAATGACTACAGATGAGGGAGGCCTCCCAAGATCTTGCTGTGTTAGAGCAACTCCACAGTTCTAATCAGTGCTGCCACAGAACTGCTGTTAGTTATCTCAGAAATCACTGCTGCAGTCCACAAATAACTAAATCGAGGAAATATTGGATTTAGAGGCGCAATTGCCACCTTTGGTAGTTTGAATAAAATGTGATGGTTTGGATGAGAACGGGCACCATAGGCTCATAAATTTAAATGCTTAGTTATCAAGGAATGACACTTTTGAGAAGGATTAGGAGATGTGGCCTTGTTGGGGTAGGTGTGGCCTTGTTGGAGGGAGTATGTCACTGGGAGTAGGCTCTGAGGTTTTAAAAAGCCCATGCTTACAGATCAGAATATAGCTCTCAGCTATTGCTCCAGCTCCATGATCCCTGCCATTATGATAATGGACTAAACCTCTAAAACTGTAAGTAGTCCCCCAATTAAATGCTTTCCTTTATAAGAGTTGCCTTGATGTGGTTTGAAAAAAAATGGCCCCCAAAAGGAGTGGCACTATTAGGAGGTGCAGCCTTGTTGGAGGAAGTGTGTCACTGTGGGTGCAGGTTTTGAGGTCTCTTTTCTCAAGCTTCACTCAGTGTGACAGTCGATTTCTGTTGCCTCTGAGTCAAAATGTGGGACTCTTCAGCTTGAGCATCATGTCTGCCATGGTCCTGAAGAAAATGGACTGAACCTCTAAAACTGTAAGAGAGCCACCTCAATTAAGAGTTGCTGTGGTCATGGTGTCACTTCACAGCAACAGAATTGTGACTAAGACAACACCTCTGCTGGCACTGAAGAGTGGTGGAGTGTCCCGAACAGTCTTCAACACGTCCCTCACAAAACTAAACCTAGGAATCCAACTTGGAGATCAGAGATGTAAGAGACACATCCTGCGATAAAGAATAGCTCCTGGAAGCCTGCTTGATTTACATGGGCTACATCAAGAACGTTCAAGTGTAATCTCTATAATCTTGATTTTCTCTCAAAGACTGAAATGAAAATTTCCATTTATGTATATATATTCTAGGGTCTCTAGAATTTGGAACCCTGGAACTCATGCCTTCTAGAATAACATTTTAGAAAAGAAAAAAAAAGCTAAATGTTTTATCACATTCTAAGGAGCTTTTCTTACCTAGTACAATTGTGCTTTCTGCCTAAGGGAGGATTTATTTGAAGCCTGTTACTCAAAAGATGAAAAGTATTTCCCCCTTCTGCTCCAAGTCAGCAAGTCTCACAAATGCCAGGCATCTGATCTAATACAGCTCCCCATCACAACAGCAGCCAGCTTCTTTTCCCATTCTCATAAATCCCTTCAGCTTTCACTGCTAACTCACATGTCAATTCTCATCACTTGAGTGATAGGTAAATTTGGTGACCTACTTTTCCAGTAGTGTATGAAAACAAAAGTGATGAAAATGGAAAGCGAAGGCTTAATGGTTTCCACTGACTTTCTGTGTTCAGGGTGGGCATTAGAATTTGCCTTCAACAGACAGAAATGCATTAAGGAATACACTTTCCTAGGCCTCAATACTTGAGTGCAATGACTTCTGGTGGGCAGTTTTGAACTAAGCCATGGTTTTAGCTCACCTTGGGCAGAATCTAAAAAGTCTGCACACCAGAAAAATTAAATGGAGACTGTTCACATTACAAAACACAATAACAACTTCGTAAAACTGTAATATGATTGTGTAAGAACAAAGAGGTCACTGACTTATCTCTGAATCATTCATCTGTTCCTCTAAACCACTCCTCACTCATGCTCCTATAAGCAACTTTAAAAGCTGTAACTGAGCCGGGCGGTGGTGGCGCACACCTTTCATTCCAGCACTTGGGAGGCAGAGGCAGGCGGATCTCTGTGAGTTTGAGGCCAGCCTGGACTACAAGAGCTAGTTCCAGGACAGGTTCCAAAGCTACAGAGAAACCCTGTCTCGAAAAATCAAAAAAAAAAAAAAAAAAAAAGCTGCAACTGGTCAGCAAGCTAAACCAGATGGAACCATTTCTTAGGCCTGTAGTCTGTGTCCTATCTGGGATTAATAGAGGTTCATTCATGTCTTCCCACAAGAAGACACATACAGCTCTCATGCCTTGGATTTCCTAAATTTTCCATCCAGTCTCAGCATTTCTAATTCTATCTCAAAACAGGAGTCTTTCCACATGTCAAAGTGACAACCACAGACACCATTATAGTTCATTCAGTTCTATTCTAAATTTCACCAATCTTTCAACACAAAAGCCCCTGCTAAGGTTAAATGCAATGCAGGAAGCACAAGAAAGAATGTTCCTCCATACACACACACACACACACACACTTTTTTTGAGACAGAATTCGTAGGCATGGCTGTCCTGGAACTCGCTTTGTAGACCAGACTGGGCCATGAACTCACAAGGGTCCATATGCCTCTGTCCCCAGAGTCTGGGATTAAAGGTGCACACCCCCACAGCCCAGCTTAAATATAACACCATTTTTTTTTTTTAAAAGACAAGTTCTCCCTGTGTAGTAGCCCTGTCTAGCCTGGAAGTCCTTATATAGACCAGGATAGTCTTGAACTCACAGAGATCCACCTGTTTCTAACTCTGGCCCAGACACTTTTCTACTAAAATGATCCTCAGTGTCTACTCACACCACCAGCTAGTGTTCTGGACACAGTGGGTGTTGGTATATTTCTTTCTGCAGGCACAGCTTCAGCAATAAGGAAGCATGGACTTGCCAGGGATTGTCTCTGAACCCAACCTCACCTGTCACTTGTCAGGTTAGCAGCTGTAGAGTCAGTGAGCAACAGGTGGTGGGGCAGTACTACCAGCCTAACTGGGACTGGTCTGGCTTACTTACCTGTAGATAACAGCAGGGATGCGCTTCCAGGATCGGAAGCCTGCCACGCTTTCTAGTTCTTTGTCAGTGATCCAGGCAGGTACTATGAGCTCTTGTGGATAACTACCACACAATCTGTTGGATAGAAGAGGATGGTGGTGAGAAGAAAGGAGGAGGAGAAAGGAGTGATATTAATATGGGGGACTGAGAGAGAGATGCAGAAGCAAACTATAGAAGCCAGTACAGGATCACTGTTCATGCCACCGCAGAGCCAGCTAAATGGGCAATGAGGGTGGCTGCTTAGCATGTTCAAGGATCTGTATTTATTCTCTAGCACAGGAGAGAAAAAAGTAACAGAAGAGAAACTGAAGGGGCATTATTTGAGTTTTTAGTCTCCTTAAATGAATGAGAAGCCATTATTTTGCTTATATTTTATACACATTATCTTTGATGGTTCAATCTGATTCTACCTTTTGTAATCTGATAAATCTAGCAATAAAACAATGAGAGTTGAGGGGCATTCTCACTCTCCATGATAATTTTGTTATAATTTGTGTGTGTGTGTGTGTGTGTGTGTGTGTGTGTGTATGTATCTTATTTTTAACTACTGGAAAAGCCACTTAAGTTGCAGGAAGAAAGCAACTATGTCACTTCTCTTAGCTTCAGTTTTCCAGGCTCTTGTCAAAGGAAGCATGAAGAGGACAATGCCTACCACTTCAGACTTCTAGACACCTCCTCAGATTAACTTACTCAATCTCTGGTTTGAACCAGGAAGTCCTAATGTAAGTAACAAGTGCAGCCAAGCAATATATAGATACAATACCCAGAACTGATCCCAATGAGCTAAATTTGTAATGTGAATAAGCTATTAATCATAATTTCTATAAAACACACCACAGAAGAAAATATATACTCTCTCTATAAACATGCTGTCTCTTGCTTGCTCTACCCCCCCCCTCGCCCCGCTCTTGATTAAAGTAGCGTGCTTGTGTAGTTCATTTTAAAATGTAATGTGTACTTAAAAATATAGGTTAATAGATAATCATCTATAGTCAAGCTTATAGTCATGTTAGTTAAATTTTCTAGCTGTACAGAGATATATTTCAGATGGATAGGCATTCTTCAAAAACTACAGAATATGGCATTTAAAATGTTTTAATAACTTAAATTTTTTCATTACAATGAGACACATCTGCTCCTGACAGCACAATTAACTCAAGAGGAAGATGGGCATCAAAGAGGCTCCTTATGGAGTTTGCTAGTCATTTGGGCAAAAAACTGCTCTTGCCTGGACTTCTTGAAGTTATATACTGTATGAACTGGACATACAGGACCCACCAAAAAAAAAAATGACTGCTAAAGTTGCCTAAAGAAGGTGAGACAGTCCTTTGGGGTTCCTGCTTCATGAAAGAGTCTGCCAGACATTCTACAAGGCACAGAAGAAAGTGACTGACAAACTGTCAATATAGGCGAAACTCTTTAAAATTTACTGCTTCATGAAAAAGTCTGCTGGATACTATGGGCCTGCAGGCTAAAGATGGATGCTCCAACATTACAGAAAAACTTTGGGTGGCTGTCCAGGCAGCAAGCTATCTCCGTTCTAGAGTAACTAGATAATATTATATCCTTTTGGAGTCTTTGATGGAGTTAAAGACTAGATAGTTATAATTGCAGTTTTTCTTAGTTATAATAAAAGATAAAGTAAATATAAATACTGTAACTATAATTCTTACTTAATACCTGTTTTGTTATATGAATTTTACTATTCATATATTTTACTATTCATATAATAAAACAGAAAAAAAAACAAAAAAAAAACAAA